GGTCTTTCATTTCTATGGATTTCATCACAAATCTTTCAATCTCAAGTTCTTATAACTCTATATTTATGATAATATATCATTTTATCAAGATGGCACATTTTGTACTATATATAAAATCCATCACATGTGAAGAAATAGCTAAATTTTTTCTTGACAATATCTATCACTATCATGGATTATTCAATGATATCATATCAGATAGGGGTATTTAGATTATATTAAGATTTTGGTAGACTCTTTTCAAGATTCTAAAAGTAGATATAAAATTATCTTTGGCATTCCATCCTCAAACTGATGGACAAACAAAGCGTATTAATTAAGTTTTAGAGGAGTATTTAAGATGTACCATCAATTATCAATAACATGATTGGACAACTCTTTTGTCATTGGCAGAGTTTGCTTATAATAATATAGTACATTCTTCTACAAAATAAACACTTTTTTTTTCTAATTATGGTTATCATCCATGACTTTATACTTTTAACTTTTCAAAAGCTGATAATCCTACAGCAAAAGATTTGACAAATTATTTGTGAGAGCTACATACAACAATAAAGGTGTAGTTAAAAGAAGTTCAACAATAACAAAAGATCAATGCGGATGTCTATCAAAAGAAACAACCACCATTCCATGTGGGTGACAAGGCATGGCTACTTCATTGCAATATTAAGACTACTCATCCTTGTGACAAGTTGGACTATCATAGGCTTGGACCATTTCTTATTTTTGCACAAATCAATCCAGTTGCATATCATTTACACCTTCCAGAGTCAATGAAAATCCATCCAATATTCCACGTGTCTCTTCTTGAACCATACAAGACAATAGACATACCAAAAAGAAGACAAGTGCTATCTCCTCTTATACAAGTGGACAATAATGAAGAATTTGAAGTAGAAGAAGTGTTAGACTCAAGGTGGCACCAAAATAAGTTAGAATATCTTCTTTATTGGCATAGATATAATATTAGTGAATACACATGGAAGCTAGCAAAGAATCTTGCAAATACAATAAAGAAGGTAGAGGCTTTTTATTGATGACATCCATCAAAATCAAGATAAAGACCTTTCCTATAAAAGAAACAAGATCTAGGCAAGATAACATTCTACTTTCAATCCTTGTTTGTAGCTTCTTTGAATTTATAACACTGAGGAGATAGAAAACCAACAACCAACAGATTTGACTAAAGAGCCTTTGTTTCCTGACCTGCTAGATGAGACATTGCAATTATCACAACCTTTAAGATGATGCAATCAAAATGAAGATTCTTAAGAATGACATGTTTTTTTTTGAATAGATGGAGATACAACATGTTTAGTATCACTATCTTGAAAGAGACTCCCAATATTTGGTAATTTTATTAAAAGTAGGAGCAATTCCTGAAAGTGTTCCAAATATTTTATTTGAAGAAAGTTTTGAAAGCTTCAAAAATGACCAAATAACATGGTGGTCTTCTTACCCTGGTATGAGACACTATCAATGGTTGAGAGGCCTTATCAACCATCTTTAAAGAGAACAAAGATCTCAGTATGTGAAAAATAAGATTTGTCGCATCATAGATTTTTTCAACATATGATGATTGCTCCTTGTGAAACTCATCTCTAAAAGAGGGAATAATGTCACAGACATACATATGTAAGCTAATAATTACCTGTATAAATAAATAGAAGTAAATAGAAGTAGATAAAAGTAAGTTAATTCTATAATATATTCTAAGAAATCTATGAAAAAGCTTGCTTGTTTGTTCTCTATCCAATTTACCAATTAAGTTATGAGTTAATAATAGTCAAAAACTTAAAAGATGTTAATAGGTGGTAGATTTAGTATTGGTTGTGCGAATTGTAGAGGTTAGTTATTGCAGAGGTCTTGTAATCAGTATAAGCAAGACTTCATGTAACAATTGTGGCATTCACATCATAGGGAAATATAAAGATTTAGGATTGCTCCAAACTTGACCATTTACAACTAGTATTGCATGCTTCATTCACTAAAAATGTTACTACCTTGGCACAGAAGCAATGTAATGATACATTGGGAGATCTGCAACCTTGAACCATTTCAATGGGGTCTGCCAGGTCAAGAACAAGTAAACCCTGTTTCAGTTCTGTAGTTTAAGTTAAAACACTACTTTTGCCAAGCATCATGATAGATAGGCCAGTGCTCCTAGAAGGAAAAATGCGAGTCAGAGCCTGCATTACCCCGAAAGAACTCCCTCCCTGCTTTATCTTCCACAGTCAATTCCTCTTAATCTGTCAACCATACTCATCAAAGAATTATGCTCCCTGCCTAACCGGATTCGTCATCTTGAAGCTTTTCCAATTGGAGGAGCAGAAGAATTCAGCTATTCAGCAGACGTTAAAAATCGAAGTTGTAATAGAATCCTGCTGAAGGCGGTCCACGTTCCCCTCTGAATCATCAACATAGATTTGCAAGCACAAACACAGGAGTCTCAAACTCGTTAGTGATGTCCACGATTCTGTATGATGCGTTCGTCTAAACGCTGAGTAGATCCTCAACTGGCAAAAATGTCCACAAACATGCTGAGGATCAATTCGCTATAGCCCATCAGCAACTTCAATTCCTGTAGGTAGGTCTTCATGTGACGTATTGAAAGCCACTTCAACACTCTGGTAAATTCGAACAGATTGATTTATTTTGCTTCACCCACGAGATGTCTCATCGTGCCTCGAATGTGTTTCCCGCTCAGTTTTGCACATACACATGGTGGTTTTTGCTCCCACACTTCGAAATTGTGTGTGGCTGCACAACAAGAGGAACATGCTCATCAGGGCAGGCATGCAGCAGGTGGAAGAAAAGCTTTTGATTCTCCGATTTCCATTAATAGTGCTCTATTCAATCGGTGCTGGAAGAGCAACTTGCAATGACACCAAGTCCTCTTCTGAGCAAACTTTGTGTGGGGGATCTCTTTAGAATGAAAATGACGAGATTCTGGAGGAACGGTCCCGGAGCAAAGACTTGCACCTGAACTTCATTTGTGGCCAAGGTCCCTCAAGGCCGATCTGATGTGGTGTACTGCTAACATTATTCCACTGCATGAAAAAAGGAGGAATTGCAAAAGAGGATGTGTCTCGCTGATGTGATCTCCATCAAGGCTTTGGGTGTGTGGGGGTGGGGCGAGCTTCATTTTCTCATCCATATATCCAACGATCAAGTATCTCTCAGCCATCCATATATATATTCATCAATTCATTCATTCATTCACTTTGTCTATTCACCCATTCATTCATTCATTCACTTTGTCTATTCACCCATTCATTCATCCACTTGTCCATATATTCATCCGTCCATCAAGTATCTCTCATCCATAAAGTATCGTCCATCTAACCATAATTGGTTGTGTGTTGTGCACTCTTGTTTGGGAATAAATTGAGTATGTAATTATAGAGTGTTGAATCCCATGTGTTAGTTTTTTTAATGCATGTTTTTTCATCAAACATTACAAATAAATATCCCAACACCTTCTTTTGTAGTGTAATTGAGTTTTAAACTTTGCAAGAAAATAGTGACCACATTCAAATTTGAAGTTGAAAATTTTCAACCATTTATTTAGAGAAATGTTAAATAGATCCAAGCTTTTAATAATTTGACCCACCTATTCTAATTATCATGAAAAAATAAATGACCTCTAGATTCATTTTTCTACTATTAAATCCACAACCAATGAAAACCAACCACATTCATTATGATTACCATATTCTTCATCATTGGTGGGTCAATTTAGTAAAAGCATGGGACTATTTAACATTCCCCTTTATTTATTGTACAATATAATTATGTTATTTCTATGTAAAATGTGATCTTCTTTGCTTTAATTTCTGTTAATGTTTTTGGATAGGGGTATACGAAAAGGTGATTTTTTTACCATTGCAACTCAAAACTAAAATGCTTTTGTTTAGCACAAGAATTGATACTGATGGATTTTGTCCTTGTGGGTTAAGTGATGTGAACAGAAGAAACTATGTAATTTTCATCAATCAAATTGCTATATCAAGATGCAACTATGTCTTTGTAACTGTGATTTGGTATAATTATTTTTAAGTAATTAATAATGATAATAATGCATAATATTACATCATATTTTCAAATAAAATTAAAAAAATACTTTAAACTTGGTATTTATGTTTATATATATATATATATATATATACATTTACATTGTATGTTACACTGCAATTACTATCATATGACAAGACATTTTTCATATGCATATCTTATGCTATACATGGAAGTTTTAACTGGTGATGATTAGGATTCAAGTTATATAAGTTGTTATTTTATTTATATTAAAGATTTATCCATCCTCTCTCGGCCTGAAATTCATTCATCCTTGTTCAACTTCCAACCTTCATCCATTTCTCCCGTCTCTCTCCTCATTCACACCGTGCTCTGGAAAGCAGCTTTGGCACACACGAAGTGTGTCCACAGCTTGATGGTGATTGCTGCTATTCTACCACAAACTACAGTGCAAAGCTTGGCTTGGAGTCATGGGGTATGCTTCTATTGATGTGTTCTGAGCCTCAACGGTGTGGTGGAGAAATGTTCTCTTCGAACTCAAACTCCATTGACTAGTGCACTAAGAGCAAGAAGGCATCAGATACGGTTGAGGTTTGAGGACTGCGAGGTGCTTACTGTCTTTAAGTGAAATGCGCTGAGCTTGACATAAAGCACACAGAGCATATTCGAAACGATTTCATGGCCGTTAAGTTGTCATGTTGCTTTCTGGCCACGTCGGTATCTTGACCATGCTTTTTAATCGACACTCTGACTTTGAGAGCGATTGCTATTGGCTCTGGAGGCGCATTAAGTTTTGAGCTTGATGAGTAAGTTAATGTTGTTTCCTTTGCATTTTATTTTATAAAATCCAGAACCGCAGATGTGGAAGGTTTGTCAACAGCGCTATAACGACCTCATCCGTGACGACAGACCTTCCACATCTGCGGTTCTGGATTTTCCGCTGAGATCTTGAGAAGCAACATCTTGACGATCTGAGAAGCAAGAGAAGAACTCTAGCTCAACTAGTTCTATGCAGCAATGTTGCCTTGCAGCTATATGATACACAGTCGCTCTTGTTGCAGCGGTTGTTGTTGCGATCAGGCCTGCTGGGTTGAATATGGCAATCTCTGAACACGGAGCATTGCAACCGCACGTTGTGTTGGTGCCCTCTCCGTTGAAAGGGCACACCATTCCGTTCATAATTTTGACGAAGCAGCTGGTTGGGCATGGCGTGTGGGTGACGTTGGTGAGCTCGGACAAGCACATCGCCTCTCAGGAGCAAGACAAGGTGAACTTTGTAGGTTTGCGGGAGGGGCCGTCCAACTTCATGGAGGCAATTTCTGAAGTGAGTGATGTGAGAATGGCTGAGATGTTAAGTGAGTGGTTGAGAATGGCGATGGAGATGCCTCAAAAACTAAAGAGTGATGGACATTCACAGGCGCGTGCAGCGCCGTGTTGCATCATCTCGGACATGTTTGGCGGGTGGACTCAGGATGTAGAAAAGAAGTTTGAGATTCCAAATCATGTCTTGTTCACCTCTCCTGCAGCTTGTGCTGCCATGCAACTTACGGTATATTAACTTCCTTTTGAAATTTTCACACCTTGTTTGCAACATAAGTGCGTCGCAATGTGATCTCTAGTGTGTCAGCTGTGGAGGGTGGATCTAATTTTAACCTGTAATTTGTGTAACTCTTAATGCAGATACCAAAACTCTTTGAAGAGGGTATACTCCCATTTCCGAGTAGTCACAAAGGTTATGTTAACATTCCTGGCATTCCTCCGCTAGATTTTCACGACCTGCCAGAATATCTGATTGCTGAAGAATCCAGCACGAAACACAAGTTCTACACGAGACACACTTAACGACTTTCAAATGCGTCTTGCATTCTCATAAACACATTCTGTGATTTCGAAAGAGGGGTTTTCGATGCTGTAGACAACCTCATTTAGACTTCCGCGCTGAAGGTAGTAGGTGATAAGTTAAAATTGCGTACCCTTTTAACTTGAAATCAGCTCGACAGAAGCCTGCATATAGGAATTTCCTTCATAGAGATGAATTCCCTCCTCTCCATTACTGTTGACTTTAGGAGCTGTCACCTATTTGAAAGCCTATGGTAGCTGAGCAGAGAATGAATTGCAGGTTTGTCCTTCCAGCCCCAACTAAATCTTCTCCAAATTGCATTTACACGAAACCTTAATCATGTCTAGAGCCAATATCCTCCAGGTTGTTACCAATCCACCCTGCATGAAAAGTTCTGATTTTCTGTAGACTCATTACCAATAGTACAGGACAGAGTTTGACTGACGGAACTTGGCGGGCTGCGAATGCAGATTTCTGGTAGACACTGCGAAAGTAGCCGTTGAAGTAGTGAAAGGAAAACATGGCTTCGTGAGGAAAGTGGAAGTGGAGAGGGTTGTGCGCCTGCTGATGCAGAAGTTTCTTGGTATTGACATTCGCAACCGCACAAAAACCATGGCGGAGTTTGCACACAAGGCGGTTGCTCCAGGTGGATCGTCCCAGAATGGAATTAAAATTTTCTTGATGGAGCTAAACACTTCAAATCACGACAATTGACAAAACAACTGCAAAACACCTTGTAGATTATACCCCTGTTGTCGAGAAAGTTTTGGGCGTTGATTTCGGCGTGTACATATACTTGGCATTATTCTTCTTTAACCAACTCGAGAGAATATTAAGCTTTGGCACTTTTCGGATATAAACCGCAGAGAAATGGCCCCTCAAAAATGTGAAACACATAGCGTAGAGTGTCATAGATGCACTAAGGCCTCACATAATCACGCAGCTTCGTCCAATTATCCATGGAGAGAACATTAACGTTAAATCAGCTAAAAACATTCGCAACGATTTTCCCCGACTCCTGACAGTGCAAAGTCAAGTAACAACACACTTTAGTAACACTACTGAATCTCCTTCCGAGCCAACTTCTGCATCTCCCCCATCTGCAATTGCAACTTATTGTGAGATTATCAAAGATGAGAAATCTACATCCAATCTCTAGTGAATAGTTTTGTTTTTATTTTTTATTAACAGTGGAATTACAAGTTTCATTGCTGATACTTGTTGTGCATGTGTCTATTTAGAAAGAATTGGGTTTTTCAATACAAACACAACTATCTATGAATTGCATATTAATTAGTGTACTACATTATTATACATATGTCCAACACTCCTATTAGTACACTAATCAATATTTATTCATTATTGATTATTATGATTAGATTATTTATTCATTATTTACTGCATTATTTTGTCATTATTCATTAATAGATATGTTTTTAATGATTTTATTTTTTTTAAAATGACCAAGGTTGTAGTTGATAATCTTGATTAATTGACTAACCCTTGTGTCTTTTATTTCAAGACTTTCTTTAACTTGACAGCATTGAATTCAGAATGGCAGCAACTTAAACTTCAAAGTTGGATTTTATTTAAAGCAAAAATATTAGAGATGATATTTCCAAGAAAAATGCTTGTGCATGTTTATATATATGTATATATAGGATTAGCATCTTGTATTTTGCACTTTTATTTTTGAGCTTTCTATTTGTAATATGTTTGTGTATAAATTGAAAAACTTTGGAATGATCTTTCTAAAATGCATGGTAGACATGATTCTTTCTTTGATTTTCATACAAATAATAAAAATATTATAAAATTATATTTTTAGCAATTATTAACTTTAAAAAGTATATTCTTATTTGCTCCAATGGTTATTCATGCTAATGATTATTGTATTAACCAACTTTGTGATGTGCTTATGTTAAATTATTGAACAATTTAGACTCTAATTTTAATATCTCAACTAAAATAATTTTACAACCAATTTTATAAAATAGTAATTGTCAAAAATAACTTAGAATTTTGAAAGATCTTAAATTATTAATTATTTATATAAATAAAACATATCTTCTATCTTAATACCAATCAAAGTTATAAAGATTAATATAATACTTAAAACTACTTTTACATAAATAAGAAGAACATCTTAGAAGCTTATGAAAGCTGGATTTTTCAAGTATTTAATTGATTGAAAAAAAGTTAACAACTTCATTGTAAGTTTTGTTCAAGTTGATGAGAAGTTATATATATATTTGATATATTTTAGGTTATCTCAACTTATTTTTAATATCAATTGATTTATTTTTTTATACAAGAAAATCAAAAAATATAAGAAATTAATTATTTATATAAATTTAATTAATAATATTAGGTTTTAGATATTATTATTAATTTTTTTAATAATTTGAATGAAATAATTTAAGTAGTGTTAATAATTAAATAAAATATTAAAAAAAATAATAAAAATTACACCATGTTACAAATATATATATTTACTTTAATAATTACTTAGATAATATAAGTAGATAAAATTAGGTAAAAGTAGATAAACATAATAATATCTTGTGGAGAAGTTTCCTATAAGTTTTTTAGTCGTGGCTTTGCCTTTACATGTGTATATAGGTGATTGGTAGATTAAAAACCTAAGCAAAAAATTGGCCATGTATTATACATATTGGCTATTTGTAATACAAGTTGAATATGTAGTGCATATATAAGAAGCTTATGAAAGCTTATGATTTGATAATTGGCTCAATATTTTATCTACAATCACAAAAAATTAATGTAATTATATCTACATAATATTTTAAAATACCTTATAAATTCTTCTCAAACTTGAATATTTCAAGATTGAATGATATGGTTTTTTTATATTACAGAATAAAAAATAAATAAACAAACAAATTACAAGCTGCCAAAATTTATTATGAGGTGCTCCATGAATTAATCATCTTGCCGAATATCGGAATTAATGATAAAAATTAATGATAAAAATTCCAACACCACGATATACATGTTTAAGCAACTCTTGAAAACAAATATTAAAATAAAAAGACAAAGATTTTCATCACAACTATTGATCTGGATGCTTTCAATCCCATAGAAATAACATCCAATGTGTTTTGAACTCTAAACATGATGAAGGTACTATATAATCACGTTTTTTTTGTAAGTCTTATGTAGATTAAAAAAATAAATGCAAATCACATTATTACTCAAGAATTCAACAAAATCAACTGTTTGAATACATCTTTGTATTCCAATATAAAAAATAAATAGTAAGCTCAAAATATAGTGATAAATAATGTGAAGTAGAAGCATAAATTTAGGAATTAACAGTAAATGAAAGTATGTTGAATCAACTACATGCAACATTCCATCCACAAGTGAATCCAAGCAAGATTTTTGTACTTGACAAAATAGTCACCAATATTTTTAGGTCAGTCAAAACTTAAGAGTCAAACTACCAAAAGTCCCATATTTCCCTACCTTCAAAATAATACAATTTTCACACAATCGTATTTAGTCCTAATATTCAATTGTAGGACAACACAATAATTTATTAAAAAAAATTAACCACAAAAGACACTTTCCAAACAAGTCTTGAAAAAAAAAACCATGTAGAGTGGTACAATCAGCAAGTCCACCTCTTCATTCATACCAACTCAAAAACTTGAATCACTCTTCTTCATCTTCTTTGACACCAAGGAAAGCTCACAAACACCCATTTCTAAGCTACTTCACAATGAAATGCAGATTCGGCAAGGATTTGACAGCGTCCGGAATTAAATGCATCTCATCTGCCGTCCTGAAACCAATGTCAACGCCATTTGCTCGACAAAAACAAGAGGTGAGATCCACTTCCCAGAATTTCTTTGGTAATGGAATGCCATGCAAATTAATTGTGCAAAGATTGTTGCAAGATGCCAAAAACTTTAGCGAAGTCTCGCATTGTTTTCAATCAGCTTTGAATAACTTCAGTTTCGTCATTGTTCCTGATAGTATGAGTGTTAGTCCTCTTAGACGGGGTGTTTTTTCTAGTGGTGTTGCTACTTGTAAATCAATATACATTTTTGTATACATACCACACACAGATCTATCTCACACAAAAAATAACTAATTTGAATTAAATAGATATTAGTATTTTTGATACTTATGAAGGAACTTTTTTATTTTATTTTATTTTCTAAAAAAATAAGAACTCTTGATTTGAGTTCTTTGCGAATGAACCTACCTCTTAACAGTTAATCGTTTCATCATTTTGAAACCATAAGGATCAATAGGAAAATTTTAATGATTCGATACGTTCAGATCCTCCAAAGTTGATAAATCATTTACCACGTCATCCAAGATCAATTTCTATTTATCCCTGAAGCTTGATATTGTCCTGGATAAATTTAATTTAGAAATTCCAACTTGCAATAAACTATCACAATCTTCAACATCTAAGAGGGATAAAGCCATCAGCTTTATTACATATATTGGAATATATTCCAAAGTCATGCATCGCTTCAAGATAAGATGTTTAAGCTTTTGTAAATTCTTGATAGTAGCTAAAAGCTTAACCAAGCTCATGTTGTAGGATAGATCCAAGTGTGTCAAAGCTTAAGATTTCCAATGCTATCAGGAAGCATTTTCAAATCACATATATTCAAATCCAAATCCATTATGTTGTTTAAAGTAACAAAAAACTGCTTTGGAATAGCAACCAATCCCATCACTTCACCGAAATTTCCCACCATGCCTTCAAGGATCAATGTCTGCAACTGGGATGCTTGAACTTGTTCAGGAAGTGTGGTGATCTCATGCTCTTTTAATGATATCCTTTTGGCTTCCAAGGGTTGAGTCAACCACTCTTGAGGAAAATTTGTCAAACCTCTGTCAGGACGCAATAAACATGCCCTTTTGTGGGGTGGGATACGATATTCCAATGTGTAGAGTGCCAAGTCTCGGAGGACATCATGCACTTTGAATTTGAAGGTCCTTGCAAACATGAAACAGTCCATTAGGTCCATGAGAGACCTGTCAATAAGTATCCCCAATAGACAATATGCATCTTCTGTGGGATCTTCCCCGCGCACTCCCACAAGTTTTTCTCCAATCCAGTACCATAAGAGGTACTGTGCATCAACAGTTGCATACTCTAAAGAGCAACCACATTGTGAAATAAGCAATTAATCTTGTACAAAACACCTGTTACATGAGTTACTTGACAAACAACAATTAACCCTTGTAGGGGATTTTTTTCTTTTTATCGATTGCAAACATCACTCATTAACAAAAATGTTCACACACGGTGCACTTTCTACCAATTTCGAGACATCAAACACAATCTCGAGATATTTCAAAACGATCAAGAATGAGATTTCGTGTATCAGATTTTTTACCCGGAAACGCAGCGAAGTAAACAAAGCACTACTTGGCACGAGAATCAATAGTATCAAGCTCGTCATAGCTCAGCTTCATGCGATGAAAAAGCTGCACCTCAACATTCTGGTCGAGCACGCAAGAGTCTCTCAGCTTCTGCAAATCGAGGTTCCAATGACCCACTCGCGTCTTCCCCACCATCGCAACGCCAATGCCTTTCAACGCCGAAGGCAAACCTTTACACTCCCTAGCAACCAACTTTGCAACGGTCTCCAGCTCATTCGGGCACTTGCCCACTCCTCCAAACGCATGCGCAGAGAAGAGTTTCCAACTGTCCTCTTCGTTCAAGCATAATACCACGAACTCTGCGGCGTTGGCTCTTTGGAGCACTGATTGCTTTCGAGAGGTAACGAGGGTCACACTGCCCGGTCCTTTTGCGATGTCCAACCACTCTAATAAGCTGTCTTCTCAGAGGTCGTCCAAGATGAGGACTTTGCGCCTGAGAAGCTCATTGTAGAGAGTGGTTCTGGAGACTTCGGGCGATGAGGACATCCATAGTGAGGCCTGGAGGGTGTTGCTCATGCTCTCGTACAGTGCGTTGATTGATGCGTCTCGGCCGATGGTGAGCCAGATGATGGACGTTTTGTAATGTTGTTGGACTTGTCGGTCGTTGTGTATTCGTTGCGCCAACAGCCTTTTGCCTGCCCTTCACCAAAAATATACAACGAAAATCTTTAATATCAACATTGTATTTAATCGTATGACTGCGTTTCTTTTTATCACTGTTGTTTTATTGCACTAGTTTCTTGGTCAGGTTTAGGATATATTTTCAAAAGGACGCATCAAGTACAATCCTCACAACTAATCCTCAGATTACTCATCTAAACCTCATATCTCTCAATTTATTCCAGACTTGGGCATTGAGTCGTGAAGGTTTCAAATGAGCAACTCAAGACCCTGAGTATGATTCTAGTCCTAATTCTCGACGCTTTGGCCACTTAGAATATCTGATGCTCGATGCTTTCAGCACTCAAACATCACATTATTGAGCACTTCAAAATATTTACCATTTCAAAGAAAATGTCAATCTCACAACCAACTTCACTCTTCCTCTTACCTGCTCCACCCTTGCCCCAGATACCAACAGCTCGAGGCCCCATCTCCTGTCCTTCTAGCACCAAAGCCTTCAACCTCGTAGTAATGTCATCCAACCCAAACACCGCCTGCAGTACGATCTGCTGTCGTTGTGGAGCATCACTACCCCGCTTTCCATGAACCACATTATCAACACACTTCTTGATTTTGTCGAACGCCAGTTCTTTAGCTCTTAGATTGCAATTATAATTCACGTTTGTGAGAGTAGTGCTAGTGACCATGGCGATCTCCATCCTCCTCTGGTCTTAATGCATCTCCTTCATTCCACTTTCCAGTTTCTGTTGGATGGATAGTGCGACGTCCAACACTTCAAGTGGGGACTGAAGACATAAGTTCCTGATCTTGTCTGCAATTTTTAGAATCTTGGTCGCCGTCCCGTACCTGACATGAAATTAATATAATTACATTGTTTTACCTCCATTAATCTTAAATCCTGTGACTCAAGTCCACTTTGCAATGCCATGCTTCAGAAGTATCGAATTCCCCTATTTGGTGGAGAAAAGTCCTCTTGGTGGTTTAGCCTTTGGATATAGCATAAAATTATTTTTTGTAAAAACACTCGTGTTAATTTATATCATACATACCTTCAATTTTTTTTAATGAAGGTTGACATAATTTTGATCTGCTCATTGATGAACTCTCTAATATCGATGTCTGAAATTCATCAACAAAGAATATCTTTTAAAATTGAAGATTCCAAGGAAGGATTCATGAAATGGCAATTTGGTTGAAATGTCATGTTCAAGCATGCCAAAATTTTCAAATTTAAGTGTTTATTTTCATGTAATTGTGTAAGTAGCTCATTGATAGACAATTAATTGTTGGGAGTCCCTAAATATTAGTAAAAGGAATGTAGGGATAAGAATTTGGAATTTAAAAAAAGAATAAAAAATTTATTTTAAAATAATTATACAAAGTAGATGATTTAGGGATTATTAAAATATTTTGATTTAAGGAGATATTTAGATTTTTTATTTATCTTATATCAAATACCAATTTGGTATTTATTTTGCTATAATAAAATATAAAGGAATTATTTTATAATTATTTAATTAATTATTATTTTTTCTTATGAAATGACATTAATAAAATAAATCATATATCACTTTTATCTAAAATTTGGATAAATTTTTATACAAATAAAAGAAGTTATCAAATAGCTAAAAAATTATGTAAAAATAATTTAAGTTTAAGTGCTTATTTTTATTTTCACTTGCATAATACACAAAGAACACTATGTGTGGAAAAACTAAACTTGGATGGTTGAAGATTCTACAATAAATCTAATTGTAATCTTCTACTTTGAATCATACATTAATATAACACTAAATGCATAATTATGTCCCATGGCTTTGTCTCCAATTATTTCTTTAAAAAAAAATTCTTCTCTAAATGTGGCAGCAAATTTTTTTAATGGCTCTTAGCTAATTTCAATGAATTCAAACATCTATATATCATCCACATCAGCCACCATATTATGTAAAATACAACCTTTTAGGATTCTAATACAATGTTTATTTTCAACCTATATTTTAATCAAATAATAGTTGAATTATTTTTTAATCAAGTATTTAGTGGCTAGAGACTTGAAGCCATGAATAATTATTTGGCTTACATCATAAACCAAGTTTGCTTGCAAGTATTGTCTAGGATCAAAGTATTTTTTGGAATTTTTTAATATGTCTATCTTTTTGAATACTGTTATATTTGCGTAAGATCAAAACTAGCTAGTGATTAGATCAATAATACAATGATCAAAGTCACAAACAATCTACACATTTACAAAATATATCTTCTTCCTGTCAAAGAATGCATCTCCATTATTCTTTGACCATTGGTTTAGGAAGGATTGTGTCCCATCAATAAGTTGAATGTAATATTTGAAGCCAAGTAGATTAAAAGATTGGCTAATTTAAAGTCTTTGGATAATATTTGGCTACCACAAATACTAATATTAGAATAATAGAATAGTCTAAATCATCCAATTAGTAAAAAAATATACAATGCCATTGCCAACAACTTAGGTCCTATTTAATCTTTTATTTCTAGATCCTAGATATTTTAGTGTTAAAGCCAATTTTTAAGCAATACTATTTTTTAAATAATGGATTTTACTTCTAAAATGAGATGATCTTTGATGGATGAAAGCACTACCTGAAAGCTTTCTTATAATATTTTTACTATTTGGCAAAACTCAGCATCAAACTCATTCATAAAATAAATCAAAACTCAATTGCATAATTTAGTTATAAGATGAAACACGAGTTCATGATTGTGCCATAAACCACTAAAAGTTCTTTTACCTATTTAAACCCAAAAAAATCATCGTGAAACTTGTTGTCAACTTATTGACAGTGTTTTTTAAATAATTCATTAAATTCTTCATCAATTACAAAAGTGGTCAATATTTCAGAGTCTTGAAGGATCTACTATTATTTGGAGTACTAAAGCGTGGTATTAGACAATATAATATGAAATCAAAGAAAAAGTGAGCTCAGGCAAGGAACATGGTTTTTTATATTCGACTTATTTCTCATTTAATATTTTGATTCTAAAATCACCTACCTTCTGAAGTAGGTGATTTGATGAAGTATAAAGTGAAATTTTAAAATAACACAAAATACTTTGAGTAAATATCATGATGTTGTATTACATGTACTCTTGCTTAGAAATGTACTAGGTTTATAAATATAGAAGATAAGTAGAAATACAATAACAAAATCCTACCAAATCTAATAGAGTATTAATTAAATTTTAAATAATTTTTAATAACCTTACTTAAGCTTTAATCAATCTAAAAGAAATTTAAAAGAAGTTACAAAAGAAATATAAAGAATCCATAAATTAATTTTTTAAAAAATAATATAAAACTTAAAAAAAAATAAAAAAATAAAACCTTAAAGAAATAATTATAATCTTAAAAAAATCTTTAAAATAAAAAATTTTAAAATTACAATAAAGAATTCTATAGAAATATTACAAATAGAAATTCTAAATAAATTCTAATGAAATCCTACAAAATCCTAACTAAATCTTAGATCAAATTTTAACCAAATACTAACCAAATTGTAGATTAAATCTTAATCAAATATTAGACCAAATCCTAACTAAATTCTAATTAAATCCTAAATTAAATCTTACATAAATTTTAGTCTCAAATCAAATCCTATTAAAATTCTTAATTAATCCTAATCAAATTCTAATCAAATCTTAATCTTAGATCAAATCCTATTTAAATCCTAATTCAATATTAATCAAATTTTAGTTAAATCTTAATCAAAACTGAATTAATTCTTAAATAAATCTTAATCAATTATTATACCTATAGAATAGGCAAATAAATTTTGTGGTAAGTTACTGGTTGGTTATTAATAACCTTGAGAATTAGACTGATGGTTAGGCAATTAAGTTGGTAACAATAGGTTGTTAGTGGAATAAATGGTTAAGAATTCAAAGGATCATAACCTTTGGAATCCGCTCACCGACGGATCATCTTTTTGGTAGGATAAAGAGATTGAGGAAAGAGAAGCTAAGGGCCAGACTGTGAGCATTGTAAGTCAAGGGCCAGATTGTGAGAGTCATAAGTCAAGGGCCAGACTGTGAGAGTCATAAGCCGAGAGCCAAACTATGATAGTCGTAAGCTGGGGCAAGCTTGGTGCTATCTCTTTTTGTTTCTTTGTTCTTGACGAGTAATGGATAGTTTCTGAATATTGAGAAGTTAGTCTGGAGAGCCAGACTCTGAGAGTCGTAATTTTGTGTAATGAATTGAGAAACTGAATCCAATAGATAAACTGGAAATCAGTAAATGAATATATATATAAACCACAAAGAGAGTAAGTAGGAGATGAACGGATAAGAATATGGAAGTATTGTTGAATTGATAGTCGTAGAATAGATTATAGATTGAATTAAGACAGAAGTAGTAAGCCTTGGTATTTTGTAGTTTGATAATTGATTTTAGATAGCCAGAGTACAATCAATTGTGACACTAATAGACCCAATTCATATAACTAGTCTTTTTTTGTGTTTGAACCTACCTCTATTAGTTCAATTGCTTTTGTATTTTGAAGCTTGAACACAACGAGAACAACATTTTGGTGCCATCGCTGAGAAAATGTCTTTTTTGTTTGTCTATCAGCTCTAGGGTGATATGGTGTAGTCTTCCGATATTTTATCTCATATTTAGCCATGAGTACTTCAATTGTACTATTGATAAAATGAGTTTCCAGATTACTAACAAATTTTCGTGGACAACCGAACTGTGTAATAATATTTTCATATAAAAACGTTGCTACTGTACTTGCACTATCAATTTTTATAGCTACAGCTTCAGCCCATTTTGTTATATAAAAACGTTGCTACTGTACTTGCACTATCAATTTTTATAGCTACAGCTTCAGCCCATTTTGTTATGTAATCCGTTGCTATCAATATATATCATTTTTATCTATTTCTCGAGGCTAGTGCAATTGGTCCCACAAAATCAATTTCCTATTTATCAAAAGGCGCTTGAGCCAGAATTGGTACCGATGGCATTGCTGAAAATCAAGTACGTTGACCCATTTTCTCACATAGATTACAATGACGAATGAATTGGTGGGCATCTGCAAATATTGTCGACTACCAATAACCAACCTGTAAAGCTTTACAAGCCATTCTGTCCCCTGCAAAATATCCAATACAACTATCCAAGTGGCAACCTTCCAATATAGTACACACTTCAGTCTGATAAATATGGCATCGCAATACTCCATCCTTGCCTTGTTTATATAAAGCTTCACCAATCATCATATAAGATGCACATTTTAATATTAAGCATCATTTAAGCTTTTCATTGAAATTGAGTGGAAAGGTTTGAAATATCAAGTATTGAATTATTTCATTATACCTTGGAGTAATTACATCTACCACAAACAGTTTTGCATCGGGTAGTACACCATTAATGGGTTCGTTACCCAATATATTGGATAATTGAGATAAATGGTCTGTATTAAAATGTGATTTTTTTGGTCTTACCTAAATAATAAAGTCAAATTCTTGCAAGAGTAGAAGCCATCGTGCCATACAACCACTCAATTGAGGCTTATTAATCATATATTTTAAAGCATCATGATCAATATAGAAAACAAATTTATAATCAAGAAGATAATGTTGAAACTTTTATACGGAATAAATCATTCTCAATGCTTTTCTTTCGGTTATTGTATAATTTCTTCCAGCTGCTATCAATTGA